AACACTTTAGGATCAATTCTCATTCCTAAAGCAATCCAAATCTCAATTTCCAACCAAGATTTCCTATTAGTGTGCCCTAATCCATTTTCATGTTTCAAATTATCATTCCAAGGGTTTTCAATCTCAAAATAAGGATTAAAGATGCTAATCCATTCATCTCAAGTCCCCAAATGAAACTAATTTGGGTTCTCCCTGAAAACAGGGGTCAAAATAGCATTTTTCAGGCCAAACAGGGTCAAACCCATGTGCATCGGTCGACCGGTGACAGAGTAGTGCAACACTACCGGTCGACCGGTAATGTGCACACCGGTTGACCGGACCGGTCGACCGGTCAGCCTGTAATCCGGTTGACCGCATTGGTCGACCAGTTTCCATGTGATCCGGTCGACCGCACGGGTCGACCGGTGGAATCAGCTGCGCGAGAGAAGCTCACAGAAATTAGTCCAAAAACTTGCAAATTCAGTCCCAAATCGAAATATTTCAAAGGAAAACCACTAGATCTGGGTTCTAGGTCCTAAAACAAGTCCAAAGAGCCCAAGATCTTCAATTTCTACTTTAGTTTTACTCAAAAACCATCAAAATCCGGTTTGAACCAAAAATAAGTTTTGAAATTCAAAAAGTTGAGATTCAAGAGAGGTTCTTTCAGTAATCTTACCTCGAATCCTTCTCTTGACATTGAAAACTTCTTTAAATCTTTCATTGGTTCAAGATCCGTTTGATTTGGGACAAAAATGAGAGAGAGAGAGAGAGAGAGATGCACGGGAGAGTGAGAGAGAGAGTGAGAGGGACAGATGCACGGGAAGGAAAAAGAAAGGGAGAAAAGAAAAGAAAATGAAAAGAAAAGAAAAGGACATGTGTACAATATTTTAAAAGAGCAGTCCAGAAATGCGCCCATACACACTTCTGGGTTAAAATAAATTACTGAGAATAATTTAAATACCTTGAAACTATTTAAACTCACTCGTGTCATAAACATTTATTAATTTATACTCAATTAATAATCCAGATTAGGCACACTAATAATCTCAATTATCTTAATTAATCTCAATTAATTCTTCAGCGTGTTACACAACCCTAGGTTTTCAAGAGAGAATGAGCTAAAAACTCAACCAGCCCATTTCAACTCGTCTTTCAACCTAAAACCAAAAATAACCATCAAGGTTTAGAGCTTCTATTCACTTGGGAACAAGTTTTTCTTTAAGGTAACTTCTTTCTTATGTTAGAAACTAAGATTTCAGAGATTAAGATGTTGAAATCCTACTTGAGATTCAGATTTTTGATGTGGCTTATCATGCATGTTTGTTGTAGACCCTTAAAAATGAGTTTCTTGAGGTTTTGGTTCAAATATTAGTTTCTGGGTAAAATTAATGATTTTAGCTTGATATTATTGATGATTATTTGAAGATAAACTCTTATTAGGATGATGATTCATGTATTTAAGAGTGAGTCTTTGAAGATTAATAAGATTTGCATGGTAAGTATTTGATGAAATGTTCAAATATAAGTCCTCTATACAATTTATGTAGATTCTATTTTCGTGCTATATATTTATGATTTTGACATATCTTATATTTTTTTATCAAATTATACATCTCAAGTCTTACGTGAGTTTTTGAATCACTCTAAACGGATTTTTCTACATTTAGTTATGAATTTTATAAGTTTAGCTAAAAAGCTGTCATTTTCCTGACGAGATTATACTTCAATCCGGATTTCGGGCTATTTTTGGTTAGATTGAAAAATCTGAAACCTATCATGTAGTAGCTCTAAAAAGAAGGTTTTGAGTCTACTTTTATTTGCCACTGGTCTCATAATATTTTGAGTTTTGATGAATTTGTTATGAATATTTTCATAACAATGCGCAATTATGTGTTTTGTTAAATGATTATAGGAATGTGATTTTTGAAAGTTATGGTTTTTAAAGGTTAATTAGCACATTGAAGGCTCCCCACAACCAGCTAGTTTGTGCTTACAAAGTGGTGATCAAAATTCAGGTAAGTAGAATTAAAGTATTTTCAAAACTGCATCACAATACCTATTTGACGAAATAACTTGTTCAGAATTGTGATTATGCAAGTTTATTCTCTTATGAAAGTTTTATATGATTATGTTCAAAGAGTATTCATGATTAATTATGTTGAAAGAGATTATGATATTTGCTTATTATGTTTTTATGTTTTAAGAGATTTTATGGTATGGTATATGGATGAGAGGTTGGGTAAGCAGGGGTGCGAGGGACCAGTGGCCCAAATTAGAGTAACTGTCTCTTTGAGACAACTAGAGAAAAATGATAATGGGAAGTCTCTTGTTGATCACAAAAGAAAGAGATTCTAAAAACCCCGCTGAGTGTTTAAGAGAAGAGAATTGGTCAAAATTAGAGAAGGTCATGTATAGAAAGGCTTACTTGAAACCGAAGTTCTATATCATACCTAAACTAAGAATAAATATGAAAGTTTATGAACAATATTTCAGCCACGGAGATTTTAGATACTTACTTTATTTGAAATCTATTTACTGAGTTTTTACTCATTAGTTTTACCTTGTGATACAGATGATGTTGTTGTTACCGAAGAGTAAAAAAATGATTTCCAAGGTTAGCTGAGTACTCCAAGTCCTACATTTGACATCTTGCTTATATGTACTTCCAAATAATAGATGGGCCCAAAATATTTTTTTTTTTTTCGTTACTATGTTGGTTTTGAATAACTGTTTAATGTCTAAAATTTGTGGTTGTAATCATTTTGCACACTGACTCATTTTGTTCAAAACCTTTACGAAAATCTTATGATGAAATCAACTACAAGTTTCCGCATCTTAAAAATGACATTATTTTAAGTATAGAAAATATGTTTTAAGTAGCACCACCTCACTAAATTCGGCCTTAGACCGATTTAGCGTTAGGGCGTTACAAAAACCAAATAGAAAAAATATCAGTAGTATGCGTAGGATGAGCAAATCCTAAAAAATAGAGATCTGATTAAGTCGCACAAATATGGTCTAATCCCACCAAAATCACTAATCTAAGAAAAAAAAATATTAAGATTTGTAGATGACGTCGACGAAGGTAGGAAACCGGAGGGGGCGCCAATCAGAGAACTTCAAAAATGGATCTTTTTATGATTAATTTAATCGTTTTATTTATATTATTTTTTGTCAAAATTTGGACAGGATAGAGGTGACGTGTTGTCCATACCATATAAGTAGGGGTAAAACGGATGTTTGAGCAACTTTAAAAGTAGGATTAACTTATTAAAAAATAATTTGTTATGGCACTCATATTGAGACTTGAACCAAGGACTCAATACATTAAAAACATCTCACATATCCATGAAACAATAATGGGGCTAGCCTCAATTGACTTACCTTGATCGGGGTCAATTTTTAGATAGTTTAAACATCAAGGTAAGGTTTAATCATTTATTATTATTACTAATTGAAACCGCGCAAGAGATTCTGTAGGTAAAAATGAAATATATATATATATTTGTAGAATTTCATTTGGAGAAATTTAAAAAAAAAATGTATAACAGGATAAAAAAGATAATAATGAAAAAAAAATAAAAAAAGATATAGTAGGGGTAAAAAAAAGATAAGAATGCAATGTAACAAGGGTAGGGGGGGAAAAGAAAGAATAGAGGAAAAAGAGGAAAGGGAAAAAAAACGGTGGAAAGCATGAAAAAAGAAGGAAAAAAAGTTATGCACGGCAGCATGCAAACTGCTGTGACGAACTTATTTTGGTTTAGCATATAGCTTTGTTGTTGGTCCATAATTCTATAGATTTTATACAAGAATCGAAACTGAAATAAAATAAAACGTCATTGTTGTTGTTGAACTTATATGTTTTTAATTTTAATCCATAATTTATACAAATTATATAAAAAGACCGAAACTAAAATAAAATAAAATCTCGGAGACTAAACCAATAAAACGATCGAAACTGAAATAAAATAAAATCTCAAAAACTAACTATGTGACGTTTGAAAAGTTAAAAATTAAAGTGAAATTGAGGCTAAATTTCAATGAGCATTTGTGAGATTAATTTTTAAATCCTTTATCCTATATATATATATATATATATATATATATAATGCCAACTCCGGTAGAAAACAGTCAACTTTCTTAGCCCAAGCACAATGAGAAACAAGAAAACTTTTCGATCGTTGGCATGTAGTTGAAAGGGTCTTTTTTTGACGGCGGAACCCACAAAGCTAGCTGTGGTTGCATTTTCTCCGTAGAAAGGGTTTTTTTTTTTTTTTAATTTACGTTGGCTTTGGTTTTCCCTGTTTGTTTTATTCATCATCTATGCCGTCCCATGATCACCTCCTCATAAATCTCGGACTCTTCCGTGGTCTCTTCTCTGTTAATTCTTGCAATATTTTCCTTTCTCTGCTCTCATGGGTTCTCCAAGAGCTTTTGCTACGCAGAATCACCAGGTAAATAGCGGACATTTTTGCACTATTAATTTGTCACGCCAAGTGTTTTCTTTTGCATTGTGGCTGTAAAATTCTTGATAACTTCGTATGTTTGTGTATAGATATACATATATATCAAAAATGTTAGAAACACTCTTACAATCACTCCACTGACGAAGTTAGAAATTGTTGATAGAGGGGCTAATATCTTACTCTCGGAATTGACTGTAGAGATGTTATTTGAAAGAACCATACGAGTGCACCATTGCTATTTCACTTTTTAGTTGAATTTTGATTTAAAATGATGTTATTTTTTGTCTTATAAAAAATGGAATCAAGGTTCTAATCTTTTTGGGAGCTATATAAATTTCGCGTCCCCCAAGCCTATATACTAGCTACGCTTACGAGTCATTATGTCTATTCACTATTTAACATGTGAACTCTACTATTATGATATATTATTATTTAAATAAAAAATTAGAAAAATATCCCTAACATTTCTCATATTGTGCTACTACTTGTAAACATTTGAAGTGTCGACGTGTTAGATTATTGCTTTCCACTAGAAGCTAATAGTAATAGAGAAGGGCTATAGAGACGTACTTATGAATCTGTAATGATTGTAGAAAAAAGAAAATTATATTTACTTTTTATTGTTATTGTTATCATTTGCTGATATAACGATTTAGATGCGTTCGTACAGTTATTTACGTGATTAGATTAAGGTTGAGGAGAAGAAATAATAATGATAATAACCTTAGGGTGATCATGAGAGAGCTTTGTTGTTCATGTTGGTAATATCTCACATACGGTGTATGCTTACCACGGGCAATGCTAGAAACACCAATTATTAGTATTATTAGATTGTTAGTACGAATAAATATTTTGTATAGAAAAATAAATAATCATAAAAAAATAGAAAATTTTAATAAATAACTCAACTTTTTTATTTTTAGATAAATGACCGAATTTTTTTTCTAAAGGGAAACGTTTTTTTTTTTTCCGTCGACATAATACTAGAAATCTCAATGAAATAACTCCAAAAATATCATAAATTTAATCATAAAATATCAACATGAAATCATGCATGCAAGAGTTAATTTTGCTAATAAATGCCGACTACAATTAATTAGGATTAAAAATCCTAATATTTGTGAAGTTTTATGTAAGTTTGGTTGAAGGTTTAGGCCTCTTCAGAACGAGGAAACTAACCATTTTACAGTTCGGATATGTTCTATGATGTGTGATGTTTCCGCTAAGATTTCCAAGTAAATGAATCAAGATATACAAGAAGTAACGTATAACAGGTCTTTAGTTAAATAATCAAAGAAAAAAAAAACAAGTCTTTAGTTAATATTTTGTCTAAGCCTCTTTCCTTTTCATTTGGATTTGGCCCATGAAATCGCTTCTACTTGGAATGCCCATGCATGTGAATTCATATCGAGATTAATTTCCACATCGCTGTTCATGTTTATACAATAGGCCACGTGGAAAACTGTCTGAAAGCCAAAAAAAAAAAAAAAAAAAAAAAAAGGACGGAAATAGAAATAGTTTTGAGGCGTAAGAAGTGTTTTTTCCTCCCCTACGAAAGTATGCTAAAAAATAGAGAATTTATCCTAGAGAGTGTACGTGTTTAGACCTCAAATTGAAACATTTATCTATGGTTAAAATCGTGTTTGTTTATGAATAAGTGCAATTGTTACAACTTTTTATTAAAAAGTGTCTCTTCATAAAGAGACATAATTATTAAAACCACTTGTAATATGACATATTGTTTTCTTATAAACCACTTGGCTTGCTTCTCTATTTTCTATGTGGAACTTTTGGCTTTCCTATTTCAATCTCTCTTACAGTTTTATGCATTGTTGGCTAATTACATTGAAATTACAAAAAGCTTTTTGACAGCCGAATAGCAATTCAAAAAATTTAGGGCATGTTTAGTTCATCGATTCAAGTCAAATAGTTTTAATGAAAATTTAAATTTTTATGAGAGAAAACACTATATAATAGAACCATTTTAACCAGAGTTTAACATGCTTTTAACTTGCTTCCAAATTTAACTTTTCAAACAAACAAAAAGTCATCCGAAAATCCTCGCATTGTGTTCTAACCAGATTGCCTAACACGGGTCCAAAATAGCAAAGTTCTAAATCTTTCTCAACTCATAGCTGTGTGTTAGAATCACCACACGATAGTCATCTAAAAGATTAAGCATTACATCTGAAGGTTTCATCACATGAAAGATGTTTTAGAGCACAAGTTATTATATGTTCATTCAAGAATTCAAAATTAAGGGAAGCATTTCTTTGATTCTTTCTATTGCTACATATACTAGTCTTTTAGCTCTGAATATGGCTGACTAGTTTGCTTTTTGTTCTTGTTTAGATATATCATTTTGGCGGTTAAGAATGGTTTGCTTCTTTCCCTGTTCTCACTAATCACCAATTCTTCTATTCCAGTATAATAAGCTTGTTTCCTTTGTTTCACAGGAATCATATGTTCGCAGACGCGAGGACCCCATTTACAAGGATCTCCTTATAAAACATGATGATCATCACCAGGCCTTTACCTTTGACACAGGACATGAAAAACATGTTTCATATACATCTGAGAATGAGTTGATGGAGGAGTCACAATCGGAATTAGATTCGGAGACAGATTTCGTTTTTGACCCTTTTAAGGAGAGTTCTTCTGAGAGGTCACTAAAAGTTGATAAAACGGCTTCATTTGATTCCACAAATGAATTAGGTTACAAAACTTTGCTTGACGATTGGTCAACATCAACAATTGACAAAACATATGTAGTGAATAAAAGGAAAGTAGACCTAGCAAGTATTCCACTTCCTCAATCTGCAGCCTCATTTTACAGCGGAATCTCACCGCAAATGGAGGTTGTTGAATTGTGTGAAAGCACTAAGAGACTTAATCTGTATTTGAAAGCAAGAAGGGATGAAGTCAATGCTGGTGGCCCTGGAAGATTTTTGCATGCTGTGATTGGACAAGATGTATCTGGTAATCTATCCATTTCGTTTAGCTGCAATACTATATCTGTGACTAGTTCCAAAAACCAGTTATTGTGCAGTTTATCAACTGATAATCATCATTAAACAAAATTTATCAAAAAAAAAAAAAATTCTATTAGAAAATTTTGAACTATGTGTAGCTATTCATGTTTTTCTTTATTGATGAGATTTCTAATTAGCCACATTGCAATATTACAACATTTGATTTCAAATTGATGATATTAACTAAGCAGAATAACAAATTTAGAAGTACAAATCAGTTATAAAAAACATTAAAAAAATAAAAAATTTCTGACCTTTTGCATACCTATGTTGGAGTTTCGTTATTGTTCACTCTTTCAATTTACAGATGTTGGTTCCATTGCGTCAACCATCATGTACGCGTTCTACCTGAATGAAACACAGAAAACAGACCAATTCTGCACTGTGCCTGTCATCAACATGAAAAGGGCAGACCTAAACGCCCATGCTGAACTTCAATGGTTGCTTGATTCATGCCAAATTGATCAGTCCTCCTTGATTTTTGTAGATGAGGTGTGTTCAATTTTTACTACATTGAATTCTTGAATTTTCAGTTGGGTTCTTAATTGCAAGAGATAAGGCTTTGAGAGAACTTCATTTGACAGTTATTAAAGTATATGATATACAAGCATACATCTAGATGTGGTTAACTTATATACTAGTTTACCACGAAGGTGGTAGCCTAGTGGCATTGGGCTTACTCCAAAGTGGTTTGATAGAAGAGAGGTCTCAGGTTCGAGTCTCATAGAAAGCGCTTGAGGCTATCTTCCAATGCAAGTAGCTATGGCTGAATAAAGACATTTCTCCACCAGTGGGGCCCCTTTGGTCACGCCCAAGGGGTAGCTACAGTTGGTCATCCCTCCCCACGCTTTTCTCAATCAAAAAACTCCCGTTTATTTCACCAATTCGAGTTTAGAATTCGAGTTTTATTACAGTAAAAAGCTCTCAGAAACAGTCACATATAACTTTTTTGCTACAGTAAAAAGTTCTCACACAAAATCACATGTCAACTCGAATCAACAAAACAAACGGGCCTTTAATATTGATTTTTAATTATGAAATTGTGAGCAGGTTGACCTTTCCTATTATGATCTATTTGGGAGTCTTAAGCTAGTTCTGTTGAATGGCCACAAGCTGCCTGCTAAACAGGAGGTATCATTTTATTTGAAATTTTGATTCTACTTTAAACCACTCTTATAACCATGGAAAATGGTGATATATTTCTGTGTCTTTTGTTCATAAAACAGGCATTAAAGGACGCAGTAGTCGAAATTTTGACTTGCAGAAAGGTGCTCTATTAGTTGTATATATAGCCTTAGTTTCAAACTTCTTAGAATTAGATCCTATTATTAAATGATGTCTCCTTTGTTTACAGGGTGAATCTGAGTATCCTTGGGTCGAAATTTTTACTGAAACTGAAGTAAGATACAGAAATATATATTTTTTTTTCTTATTTCTTTATTCACTTTTTTCTTTTGGAATTGGAGTATTCTGATCAGAGCTTCATAGGATATTATTTCATAAGAGAGTGAATTTAGCTCCCTGTGGTTTCTTCCTTGAATCTGTCAATCAAAGTTTTAATGACAAGCGTGAAATTAATGCCACCCTTGCCATAAATGAGAATACAATGAGGATCTTAATTAATCAATGAAACAGGACTGCTCATGCTGCACATTTGTTGCTGAGAAGTTTGCACTGACTTCACCTGAAATTTTGGTTGGGAAAGGATTCAGTAGGCTCTTGGTAACTTTCTTTCTTTCTTTCTTTTTCCTTCTTGAATATGTAGTTTTTTTTTAGTTCTTGATTTGTTTATTGACAAAATTCAAGGTCTACTTGGTGAAACGGAATTTATCATTTTATATATATAAATATATATATATGGTAAAATTCAAGCATTGTCAGCTAAATGTCCCGTTCATTTCACCGATTTGAGTTTAGAATTCAAGTTTTGCTACAGTAAAAAGCTCTCACAAACAGTCACATCTAACTTTTTTATTACAGTAAAAAGCTCTCACATAAAGTCACATTTCAACTCGAATCAGCCAACTAAACGGACCCATTTCCCTCCATTTCTTTTTTCCCTTGTAGTTGGCTGGAATCCTCTTAGATTCTGGAAACCTAACAAATGCTCATTGTTCCTCCAAAGACAAGTACATGGCTACCCTTTTAATCCATGGTGCAGGTCGTCTTGGATGCACTGGTCTTTATCAGATATGTATGCAATACTTTTATCTTTTATATTGATTCATTTATATGAATACTTTATATACTTATACGACTCACCTTTGATGTGTAATTTGTGATTTGCAGTGAGATACAAAAAGCATGATATATCAGACCTCAAAGTGATTGACATCTTGCGCAAAGATTTCAAAAGATGGACAAGAGTAGGTGTGGACTTGAACACCCACTGAATCATTATTACTTGATATGGAATTATATCAGATAAGATCATGGTGTCTTAGTCCAAACTGTTTAAGCGTCAGAAGAGAAATATTAATGACCCATCTAACAGATTACTTTTTCCTCGTTTAATTTTACTTGTGGATTGTGTGAAAATATAAAACTATTATCAGCACAACTCCTAACTGCTTAAGTTTCTGAGATTGATTGGTAAACTAATATCTTAAACTTTTGGGATTAATTGGTAACCTGTTAGATTGCTTAATTCTAGACCATGCTTATCTCATGACCTCTTATGATAACTTATATATTGAGAGACATGTATATTTCTTATTACTCTGTATGTAATGGCATTAATTCCACAAACATAAAATTGTCGAAGCAGGTAAGCCAGACGGCGCTGGTTCAAGATTGACGGTATCACACATTGGGATGAGTTCTATCGGAATTTCTGTTTCACAACTTCTTAGTCGCGTGGACACCGCAACTCAAGAAATTACGTATTTTCAGCGTAAGTAATAAAGAGAATAGCTTGGTTTTCATAGTTATGTTCTCTATTAGATTAAGGGTTGCATTGTCAAGGACTACAAAATTCACACTGTTGAATCTGTTTGCTTTGCTCTTCTTTACAGATCAGATAAAATTGCTTTTATCATATTGTTTCTTGCTATTGCTGTTCTTTGTGTTTGCTTGAACCGGGTTCTATCATATAACTTTCTATACTGCAAGAGATGCTTCATTTTGCCTGTACCATCAATTCAACTCTTATGTTTTGCCTGTACCATCTTTTCTTTGTCACTCATGAATTTCTTTCATGCTTAAATTAGGTGCTGATAGATAGACCATATTCTGCAGCAACATTTATATATAATATATATGAGCTTTTTTACTTTATTTTTCATGAATATGTTTGATTACCCCTCTGATGCTTTTCTTCCCATGGAATAAAATTTCAGAGTTGGAGAAACTGCGGCTACTCATGGTTGTTTCTGGGTATTACGATTCGAAAAACAACTTCAAGGTTGGGAATTCAAATGCTAATTAATATTCTGCTCCCTCTTTCTGTTCATTACCCTTTTTACTTCATTTTTCATGTGGCCATTTTCATGTGATAGCCATCTAATTACACCAATTCAGTAAAAGCTTTTTACTTTTTATTTTTATGCATATTAAGAGTAGGCAACCACGCATGATAAATGTAAACACTTTGTTACTCTGTTCATTGCGGATAAAGACTGATGTCGCTTGCATATATTTGGTGTAATTTAGAGAGAAATCCTAGTCTCTGCCGAGTCTGCGGAACTCATGAAGAATCTGCTCTCTTTCTTTAATTCAAATGCAACTCATCTTACTCTCAAAGTTCTCCATCGGCCAGGTAAAAAACTCTCTCCGGAATCATACAACATAAGATTTCCGACATCTAAGATAAATTGTGGAAGCATTGTTTAAGCCAGGACTTATTCTTGGATCCATTCCATCGGATTACCTTCAAAATTTTGCTGTTTGCTGTTGAATTGCTCGAACTCTTGCTGTCTAAAATTTTCACGGTAAATCTTGGCATGTTTGCTTGGGGCTGCATCGGAAATTCACTTACACATGATGCTTGTGCAGGCCTTAGAGAGGAGATGAGAGCATTTGAAATCGACAAGGTTATATCGAGAAAGACTATCGAACGCCTTTTGGAACAATTTGGTGGGACTTCGAAAGGGTAGTCAGGGTTGTGTCTCAAGTGTATTGAGCATGGAGACAAAGATATATTAGTGGATGCTGAAAAACAGAACAAATAAGTTGTACTTCTGTCTAGCTGCACAAAATCTTCGGACTTTGATATGATTAAATCTTCGATTTTTTTTTTCCCTTGGGAGGTGGAGATTGGTGGAAGTTGGATATCCAAAGTTGACTTATGAGCTTATTATGTTAAGTTTGTCAAGATACTTGTGTGGTGCATGCTTGTGAATTTTCAAATTTGAGTCTATAAATAGAAACTCATGAACATGCCATATGAAAAATAGCTGAGAAGATTGCTAGTGCAGATGAACATGGGATGATATGCTGCAGAAAAACTTTACTTGTACAAGCAAGAGACTTTCTTATGCACTACTTGATCTGTGTGAGGAACCACATGGTTGTTATATATATGCATTATGCAACGTACATGACAATGTATAGATTTAACCATATTTTCACGAAAAATGAAATTCAATGGTCTACCCTATGTTATAATAACAAAAAAATTATTCCGTCCTATATATATAGGCATTGGATAACGTTTGGCTGCCGTTTCCATTCGGCCGGACACGGTTTATTCCTATTTGTTGGGAGCTTGCAAGTTGTATGCAAATTGTATGTGGTGTCATAACTTGACGTCAGAGAAAGATGGCTAGCAGGACCTTTGAACCGGTTATCACCGGTTGGAGTACAACTGTTGAGCTGGTTTTATTGTAAATACATTAGGTAGGATATGTCATGGAATTCATTTTAATAGGGATTTGGCTACTTATTTAATCCAAAAATTTCAATTTTTTGTTCACCAAACGGCACTGTAAGGTGTGTTTACATATGTCAGTAAGTGTTTGTTTCGGTCGAAGTAGCAGGAGGTGGTGTGGATGGTTTTGGGATTTCAAAAGTGAAAATGTTTTCTTATGGCCGTTTAGTTCGCTGATTCGAGTTTTTAATTTAAGTTGAGATGTGACTTTATGTGAGAGCTTTTTACTGTAGCAAAAAAATTAGATGTGACTGTTTCTGAGAGCTTTTTACTGTAGCAAAACTCAAATTCTAAACTTAAATCGGTGAAATGACTTTACCATGTTATTTTCATTGAGTATTGTCATATTCGGTAGGTATAGTACTGTATGTATAATGTGATGTAGAATGATGTTTATATCTTTTTAAAATATCATAATTTTGATAACCCCGATTGAGACGATTCTTCTTTCTATGTGTTTGTAGTAAAAAATTGAATAAAATAATATTCATATTGACTAGATTATTATTCATTAAACATTGTCATATTGGTCCGTTTGGTACTATTTGTATAATTTACAGTAAAATAGTGTTTCTTTAAATCCAATCCGAGCATTGTTAACACTGTTCTTAAAAAATTTTGCACTTAAAACACTCAACAACAAACATTAATAAGAAAAATTATTAGCAACCCAACGCAAAATGCCTTATGTGAAATCAATCATATATACACAGGTTAAATTTATGGAAACCCCATACTGGTCAAAATATGCATTCACACCTTATTAAAATAATAATTGCACTAAGGATCAGAAGATTAGATGATCAGTTTACGTAGGTTTATTAGTGTGCTTTTTAAAGAAAGTTTTCCATTTTTTGAAATATGAAAAAATAAAGTTGTTATTAAATCAAATAATAAACCATTTAATCTTCATTTTTTTTAAAAAGGAAATAATAAAATCTGAGCGTTTTGTATTGTGATTTTTTTATGAGTAAATACTCAAAACACCACCATGTGTTTTGTCAAAATACCATTTTCACCTCTTTTATTATGGAAATACCCAAAACACTCCATGAGTTTATAAAAACAGACCCAAAACACCCCCAAAGCAATTAAATTTCTAAAAATATCAAGATTACCCTTTCGAATCTTTAGTACATACAATTTAAAATAATATTAAACCAAAATGTTAAACTAATTCAATCTAAAAAAATGAAAAATTAAAATAATTGAAGTAATTCTTTGATTGGAATATTTATTTGAGCATTTTTAAATTTTTTTTATTTAACTTTTTGGTCAAATCATATCTTAAAAAACATTTAATAGGGAAGGTTAATCATGGCATTCTCAAAATTTTAACTGCTTCAGGAAGTATTTGAGTCTATTTTTATAAACACGGAGAGTGCTTTAGGTATTTACATAATAAGATGAGCAAAAGTGATATTTGGAGGGTGTTTTGGGTATTATTCTTTCTTTTCATTATGTTTCTATTTTAAACATTCATTACTGATTTTATTTGCTTCATTATATAATGTTAAAATGATCTTTACATGTAATTATTGTGATTAAAACAATAAGTAGATATGATTAGCAAAAAAAAAAAAAAAGTAGCTATTTTAAAAATCAAGGCGCTCTTTTTGGACACAGACTTTGCCTCCTTGGCTTTTGATCTATGATGGGCTTTGAATCTCGCATCTGAAACATAATTTTTAAGTGGACGCTTAGTTAATGTATTCAGAATCATGATTTAAAACTATTCTCGTTTTACGTGTGTTTTTTGTGAGAAAAAAACACTGTAAAAAATCATGAATTATAATTCAGAATCATGGACGAATACAAGAAATAAACATCCTTGTACTCCAAATTGTAGCTTTGTCTAATGCCCATCTCTATTAGTTGGGCAGGAAAGTTTAATGCAATCCAGTGGGAAAATAAAAGGTAACAGTTGTCAAAGGAGAAAGGGCACTGACCAGAATTTATTTAACAGGACTTGTTTATTTTGGTCTTCCAATTTCTAATTGCCTTTTTAGTTAAGGCAAAAATATGCTTATTTGCTAACCAAGAGTCAGCACCAACTTGAACTCCTCACCAATAAGCAGTGGCAACCCAGAAAGCTCCACGGTGCAAAATTGTCCAGAACTATGAAAGCTTATTCTAACACCAGAACTTTTTATCAAGTTTCTTCCCGAGTTTGTATAAAGCTTGTACTCCTTCACTCTCTTAGCGTTTTTCAGCCCTATAATTGTGATTCGATTGACGATCCACTTCTGAGCCAGAGCAAATTTTCCATTCAAAACATTTGATCCAACCAAGACGCTATCCCTTTCTACCGTGCTAGAAAATCGTACCAGACTCCACTTCCCTCCCGGTCCTCCCATCTCGACTTCCTCCCCATCATCCAGGAACACTTCGCCTGTGCTGTTTGTGCTGCCGCTGCTTATGACCAAGAGGTTGAATGCTGTTTTTCGAGCTGCTTGTGTTGTCAGTGCTTCACCTTGCAGAGCCAAGATATTGCCTTCCCTAACATGCACATTTATATGATCCGCAGGCGCATCAAGGGTGACATACTCTCCAGATTTTACACTCACTGAACGCGAGTAGTTGAAGAGGTCAAACCAGTTTCCTGCTGGGAAGTACGCATCAACGGAAACTGCTCCAGGTTTCAATACAGGTGATACCAATATTCCTCTTCCGA